CCCAACTTTACAATTCTAGCTCCGCCCCTGATACCCACTGACAAGAAGCAAGAACCTTAATTAACTGACCCATGAAGTTAATCTGTTGAGGGAGATTCATATTTAAAATATCCTTTTCATCTGGTACAAGGCTCTCATCAAACACTCTGAATTAGATAGAACCGATCAATTTTGAAACAATTCCAGAAATTAAAAGTTGCAGGCATCGTATTAGTTTGTATAAAGGGTTTTAATCTATTGGTAATTAATGATATTTATACATCTTAATTCGGATATGTAGAAACACCAATACGAAGACATGTCTTCCTCGTGAGGTTCATCGATTTTAATAACTTAGGTCTTCACCTGTGCTGATCTTTCTCATGCATGTTCCTTTCCCTCTTGGGTGAAAATTGCAATGAAATCTCTGTTTTTCCTAACAGGACAAAGGATAGAGGACGACCAAGGCATTAACAAATGCCATTGACGCATTCTCATCGAGGTTAACTAAAGAAGGATGTCTTTAGGGTTTCAAAGTGGTGGAATTTAGGGCGCTTGCCGCACCAACTTCTTGGCTAACAAACTCACTGGTCAAATGGAGTCACATCCATCCATGTCCTTTTCTCTGTGTAAGTATTTTGAACAAACAAAGATATTTTTTAATCTATTTCTTTCTAATTGTGCTTTACATGAAGATCACCTTATGATTAATTTCGATCATCAAAATCCACTGTGATTCAAGAATCAACATATAAAGCTTTTTCTGATATATCTTGTCGTGGGTTCGGGAGAAGATGATTCGTGCTTACCTATTTATTTTTTTAATGAAAAAAAGTTTAGGAGAAGGGAGGCTACCTAGGGAAGTTTCTCTAGGGTTGCTAAAAATAATGCACATTAATATGTAAATAACTCGGTATTGTCTCATCTGAAACCCTTTAGAAAACAATGTTTCCTCCAACCCTAATTAAAAAGAACATGGGGTGGCTGCATTTCTACTTTACTTTTGCATCACTTGCTCCGTATGTTCCCCGTTTCTTTTAATAAAGATTACACCTTTATTATTTTTTATCACAAAGAAAATCAAATACACGCTTTGCCCTCGTTTTGTGTCGAGCTGCAATTTCCATATGATACTAGAATAATTAACAGAAACTAGTGTTAAATTGTCAGACTCATTGTGATAACAAAAATACTAAGATATATTATAGATATAAATTTTTTCAGGATTAGAATTTATATATGATGGAGAAAGATAAAGTTAAATTAATGCTTTT